CGTGCCTTTGGGGTACTTTTTGTATCTGGCAACGGAGTCTCTCTGCTTCCTGATCATCATGTGAGCTGCTTCCCTCGGCCACACTCTTCCACCACCATGTTATGCCTCACTGTGAGCCCCCAGGAATGGAGCCCACTGTCTACAGAGACCTCTGAAACTATGAGCCCCCAAATAAACTCTTCTTCCTCTAAAGTTGTTCTGGTCGGGTCCTTTAGTTACAGTGGAATAAAAGCTGATTAAAACACTACGGCTGGGGCTGGGGCTCAGCAGTAGAGCGCTCACCTAGCACATGTGAGATACTGGGTTCGATCCTCAGCACCACATAAAAATAAAAAAACAAAATAAAGCTATGGTGTCCAATTATAACTAAAAAAAGAAAAACATGGGCTGGGGATGTGGCTCAAGCGGTAGCGCGCTTGTCTGGAATGCGTGCGGCCCGGGTTCAATCCTCAGCACCACATACCAACAAAGATGTTGTGTCCGCCGAGAACTAAAAAATAAATATTAAAAATTCTCTCTTTCTATCTCTCTCTCCTCTCTCACTCTCTCTTAAAAAAAAAAACACTATAGCTAAGGAAACCTTGTTTAGATAAGAGTCCTACTAAGTGTAAAATTGACAAATCTTGTGAAGTGCCAAGGAACAATACCTCAATGTTTTGGATTCTACGTGGATCAAATGGGGATAACGAGAACATGGGACACGTGTGTCACATACCAGAGTCAGCTGGAGGGATCTGAAAACAGATTGTTAAACCCACCCAGAATAGCTGATTCAGTGGGATGGGGAGGGCCTGGCATAAGCTCCTGAGTGACAGTAATGCCACAGATGTGAACCACATGTCAAGGGCCACTGCACTCAACACTTCTTATGGTCACACCTCCATCAAGATGACTGACAGCATTGCTGTCATGACCAAGAGCCAGATGGGTCCCCAGGAGATAAAGTCCTTAAAGGGAAGCAGGGCAGCAGTAAGGTGGCAGGCAGGGGTGAGGACTTGGCACTTGGAAAGCTGTGTCGGGGCGCCCAGCATGCCTTGCCAGGGGTTACAACAATGGAGAACTGAGGCTGTGGCTAGCAAGAACAGCAGGGGTAAAACTGGCCCCAGCAGGGCAGAAGCAGCCCACATTACTATAACAGTGCACCAGGCAGACGTGAGAGCCCAGGCACAGACTGAGAAGCTGGTGAAGTGCTACTGCCGCTTCCACGCTTCCACGTTGGAGACAAGAAGCTGGAAACAGACAGGTCAGGTGACCTGCCTGGGGCCTCCTAACCTGCAGGCAGGGGGCTGAGGCGCTCACTCACACTCTGGCTTCGGAACCCAGTTTTCAACCACGGTATTTATGACCTCAGGAAAGAGCCTCAGGCTCCTACACGGTATTTCCTGTAATTTTGATAACTTCGGAAGCCACCCCCAGACTCCGACTCCACAAACAACACATCCATGTGTGGGCTGTGAGCACAGGGCCTGCTAGCTCAGCAGCTCAGGCCCAGAGGCACACACGAACCTCCCAGGGCTTCCCTAGCAGCTCACGCTCATCTGCTGAGCGCCAGCTACATGCCAGGGACCGTGCTTGACACTTGCAGGGATACCTGCTGCTCTATTCTTACAGCCCCACAAGGCAGGTGTGATTAGTTTTCATGCTGGGAAAAAGTAATGAAAGTGAAGTACAAAGTCAGCATATGGCACCCCCATCGGGGCACAGCACCCATCAGCACCCAGGGCAGGTCTGCAAGCCAATCACAGGCAGGTGGGTGCAGACCAGCACTGCACCACCCCGCAGTCCAATGTCAACCCAGCAGTGAGAAAGGGGAGGAAGTGGCCCCTGGAGAGATGAGGGGGAGCTCTGCAAGCATGCAAGCTGCCACAGCCAGGGGGGCAGGAAGGGCAGGTCCTCCACCCTCTGAAGACTCTTGGCTCCTCTAGCACTGAGGACTCCAGGGGAAGAAGGTCCCCATGTGGCTTTGTCTGCCTCAGGTCAGTGGATCCTCTGTCATCGCCCCAGCATGGAGTAAGCAGCATCTGAAGTAGCACACTGGTCAGGAATGCAGGTCACAGTGAGTGAGATGCGGCAGGTGGGGAGGTACATGGTCACCTGACTTGGAACCTCAGGGGAAAGGCTGCCAGTCCAAGTGGGAAACTGAGGAAAGAGCTCACTGGAGATAAAACTCTGAACCGCAGCTTGAAAGAAGAAACAGCACTCAGAAGAAAGCACAGCCGCTAGGTCAGAAGGAAGGCCACACAGCAGACATGGGGCATCTGGCACCTGAAGCATGGCAGAGCCGGGTGGTGCAGTCTGCTCAGCAGAGGCAGGACAGGGACTAGTGCCCTGGAGGCTGGCCGGACCCCAGGCCAAGGGAACGATCTTCCCTGAGACAGGGAGGGGATGAGGAAGAAGACAAGAACCTCGGGTCAGAGCAGACAGAAGAGGAATAGGGAAGACGCTGGGGTGGGGAGGGCAATCCCCTGTGCTGGAAAACAAGTCAGTC